TATCCAGCCAAGGGAAACTCAGACACAAGGCACAATATACGCTGTACCAGAACCAAAGACAAGGGCAAGCCAACCCACACCTCAATTCACTACGAAATTCTTCGGTGGTGGCTGTTCTTCGGGGGGAGGTGTTACGTACGCCTAATCTATGAAGATCGCTGCATCGACGCTGACCCAGTTTACCCAAATCAACATTGCAACTGCACTATGGACCGCGCGGAGCATCATCAGCAAAATGCGCCTCTCATGACGACAGCGGCGACGTTTCATTAATTTTACTAATTATTCTATAATCATATTCGTTTCATACTTCGAGACGGTATCACTAGGCTAGGCTAATTTTAGTTTAATTGTAATTTCTTTCTTTTAAATTAAATTTAATTAAATAAAGTTTGCTTTTTCTTGGAACCTCCGGTTGCAGCTAACGAAATTTAGTGAGCTTGGTTTGGTTATAGTTAACACTTAGTTCGCCAGTCACTTTTTTGTGTAAGCTGTAACCAGAGTAAATACAAATGAGTAGGTCATCTTCATAGACGCAACTCCCCGCTAATCAACGCTAAATTTTGTCAGTGTGTGCGTGCGCGCCGCATACGTATTGGCGCGCTCACATACTATTACAAACCGCGCTCGGGCGTTTCTGCTGTAACCAAACATTTTTTTCAATGTAGCTTAAAGTCTTTTATTTTATCAAAGTACAACAATACATGATTCTCTCTACAGCGGATGGCCGCTGGGACTGAAAGATCTCGAGGGGTGACGACGAGCGTGGGCAGGCCTCCCGTCAGATGGACCGACGATCTGGTGAAGGTAACAGGAGGTGCCTCGATGCGGGGGGCTCAGGACCGGTCTTTGTGGAAATCCTTGGGGGAGGCCTTTGTCCAGCAGTGGACGTCATTCAGTTGAAACCGACGAACGAATGAAGTTAGCCAGGCGGCTTCGCCCGCGTGGGATTTTGTCTGTCACAGAAAAAGTTTATCGCGCGTGTCCCTGTTTCAAAAACCGGGATAAAAACTATCCTATGTCCTTTCCCGGGACTCAATCTATATCTATGTCAAATTTCATTAAAATCGGTTCAGTGCATACAGAGCTACTTTCGCATTTATAATAATATAGACTAGACTTGTAAAATACCTATAATATGAACTTAATAAAAAAAAACCTTTTTTCTGCAGTCGGGTAAGAAGAAAGGTTTTTATCATTGCTGTTATTCTAATGACTTCCCAATGACAAGCGCCATAAGGTCGTATATTCGCCAGCCCTAGTGGAATGAGACTCAGTAGTCTTATTTTGTATTTATTTAGTACTCGCTTTCCGCCCGCGGCTTCGCCCGCGGCTTCGCCCGCGTGGAATTTTGCCTGTCACAGAAAAACTTTATCGCGCGCGACCTTGTTTCAAAAACCGGGACAAAAACTATCCTATGTCCTTTCCCGGGACTCAAACTTATTTATTTATTTAGTGGTTTAGGCGTGAAAGTGAGACAGACAGAGTTACTTTCGCATTTATAATATTAAGTATACCTAGAAGTATAGATTTCTGTATTAATACTAATAATAAAGTTTTTTTTTTATCATAACGGAGAAGCTCTTGGCTTGTATGGCTTGTAAGTGATGATCAGGCAAAAGGAAGCGAGATTCACCCGGAATCGTAAACCACAGAGGAACTGGCTTTTACCCCCAACTTGTGGTGTAAACTGAATAAATGGCTTCAGCCAGACCAACGCGTGCAGATCGCGTCGGCGATGGCGATCACTGCGCGTTCACTGCCAATGACAGGATGCGCGTTCTGCTAAGCCATACTTACGGTTTACATTTTATCAATCACGTTGAGACCCGTGTTTTTCTATTTAAGTACTAAAATACTGGTAAAATTGAATAAATATTTTTAATTTACTTTGGTTGGATACAAATAAATAGGGCAATAGTTATTTTTCTTCTTCATTATTTTATGTAGTAATTTTTTTAAATCATTGCAACTTGATATTAGGCATTAAACGAAATACGCGATTAGGCAATAATAAAATTTAAATTATGCAACGGAAAAATTAAATTATTTTTTGTTAATTCACTGTGCGACTTCGTTGCGGCGCTATATTGTTAAGAATCAGCACTTGCCAAATGTTGGTCTCGTAGCGCTGCACTGGTAGGGTAAAAAGATTATGAGACATGTTTTTTTATTAGTCTTTTATATTTTCTTCTAATATTCGATGATTTGTAAGCACTACTTAATAGTTTATACAAATAAAAATTACTTTGAGTCATTTGTAACGTTTCCTTTTCTGTAAGAGCGGTCCAACTGTCCCTGCCTCCACTACGCACCCATTATAAGAACAATGAGACCGATCATGATCCACCTCTGCCAATGCACAACGAGTCTGCGCGTGCGATCACACACACGCGTCCGTGTCAAAAAACATTTTTTGCGAGTGATTTTTTTGAGTGATTCTGTGTTGTGACTTTTTTGTTGGTGATTTTTGAGGTGAGTTTTGTTTATTGTTTTTGAATTACATTTTTTGTTTATTTATGATTGATGACAGTTATTGATTTGATATCCCAAAATCTGTTTCCTGGAACTAAAAAATAAGATTAAAATAAAAATAACAATCCAAAACCGTTTGTAAATTACAAATTTTGAGACTTTGATATAAACTTGTCTCAAAAAATAACATATTAACTAAGTTAAAATATTAAATAAAACAACATATTATTTAATGCGTGTTTAAAAGGTTTTAAATTATTCTATTCGAAGATGCGAATCCTCCCACGTCCATAAACTACCGTCAAACGAGTTTGCGTCAAAACAATAATATGGTCATATTGTAGATAAAACGAACATAAAGACATCTTGTGTCTTTGTACCTTTTGTACCTAAATTGTACCTTTTAAAGATTTAATATGGTTTGCAAAATGTTTAAAACTTATGTGATATTTTTGAAAATATGTAACATGTGGGTAACTGTTAAATTATAGGTATTGGACCACAAATCTACTTAGTTTGACTAATATGGACTACACCACACCTACGTAACTGATTTTTAATACCTAAGATGAAACTTCAAAACATTCTAGGTATTTGACTGTTTGTACCGGTCAAATTAATAAATATAAATAAATAATAATAAATATCCTTGGACATTTTACACTGCGCCTCTAGTCCCAAACTAAGCAAAGCTTGTACTATGGGCACTAGACAACGGATATAAACATACTTAAATACTTTTTTTTTTGTAAATACATACATATTATACATAGAAAACACCCAGACCCGTCACAGAAATTGAAATTTATCGTTTCAATTTCTGCCCGGCCGGGAATCGAACCCGGGACCTCTCGGCATAGTAGTCCGTTCTGAACCACTACACCAAAAGGCCGACAAAATATCTTTGGATATTTTACACTGGCCCTCTAGTCCCAAACTAAACACCAAAGCTCGTAGGTACTATAAGTACTAGACAACGGATATAAACATACTTATTTTTTTAGGTTGAGTTGCACCATCTTACTTTAACTTTGACAAACGTCAAATATCTGTCAAACTCCATACAAAAAGCACCGGTTGTCGTCATAGTTACTATTAAAGTTAGGTGGTGCAACTCATCCTTAAATACATAATATAGATAGATATTGTGTCTGATTTGATTTGGAGTAAAATACGTGTCCATACATACTCAAAACAATATTAATTTTGATACTACCGTTACCTAAGTAAAAATAAATTGAAAATTCGAAAATTCTACATGTTTTTCTAAAGGTCTATGTTTATAATTTTATTCTAAAACAAGTTATATTTTGTTGTTTGTATCTGTGTACGGCATACCTACATTAATAATTCATATCGCGTGATTCTTAAAAGGTATTAAAGTGCGCAGACGCCTGCTCTGGGATTCCCATGTTGTCTTTTAATCTCGAGAAATATGCGAACACCTGGCCTGCCAACCCGTTTTGCCAGCGTGGGGAGTGTAGGACAAATCCTCCATTTGCTGGTAAATTAGAGGGTCGTGCTCCTGCAGTGGATACTGAATGATCTGATGATGATGAATATCGAGAAAGGACAACTTTTATCGCCCACACGGTGGTCCGACGACATCATAAAGGTAGCAGGAAAACGCTGGACGCAGGCCGCTACCAACCGGGTAACATGGAAAGCATTGGGGAGGCCTATGTTCAACAGTGGACGTCTTATGGCTGAGATGATGATGATGATGATGATGATGATGACATCTTTTAGGGATTCTCGATGATTGTAAGATTATTAAATTCACCTAGCTATCATCATTTTACTCAAGTTTGTACCCCGGGACAAACTTGGCCTTCACTGGTTGGGTTATTGGCGGTCAAGCTGTAGATCCTGGCTACACAGGAGTTGCAGCGGTGGGAACGAGAGGTAGGAATGGTCCCGTTCTCAAGTTTGTAGGTAGGTATAACAACTATGTTAACAACATTGTTCTTTCGGCAGTTGAAGTTAAGATAGCCAGTTCCTCTGTGGTTGAGGATTCCGTCCGGGTGAAGCTCGCTTCCACCTTCGGTCTGATCATCACTTTCTATCGGGTGAGATGCAGGCCAAGCTTTCCCGAAGGTAAAAAATGTTTAAAAGTTCCTATGGATGGCTCAAAATTTAAGTGCCATAATTAATTACTGAGATATTTAAGCACCTTATTCATTATTGATGATGAATATTATTATTAACTAGCTTTGCCCGCGGCTTCACCTGCGTGAAATTTAGTTTGCCGTTCGTCATAAATAAATAGCCTATAATGTTTTTCTGGGTTATAAACAATAATACTGTAGTTTCATCAAAATCCGTTCATTAGTTTTGCTTGAAAGAGTAACAAACATCCAGACATCCATACAAACTTTTGCATTTATAATATTAGTAAGATGCGAAAGTTTCTTTGTCAAAATATCGATGTTATGAAGTCATACCATTCAAATATTAGCAGGTCTATCTTTCTATTGATTCTCCAAAAGTTTTAAGTGCAAAGTTCATCAAAAGCGTCATATTAACCAAAATGTACAACACAATCCGGTTCCATATTCCAAAAGCCCAATATAAACTAACAAAATTATAATATATTTTAGAAATACAACTAATTTACGTCAAAGTATTTAAGGGAGAGTCCGCTAATTTGGACCAGTTTTTTTCAATCCCATTTTACACATAGTTTTCTTTTGTTTTTGCTAATGTCCATGGTATATAATAAAAGATACATTATTCAACTTACTATTTCATAAGTATTAATTAACATGATTGTTGTATATTTAGCACAAATCAACAAAGTACGAGTTCAGAGCTTCGGTCCAATTTAGCCAACCGGTTCGATAATTTGTACCACAGGGTTACTAAATTGGATTTCAATAAATTTCAAGCCTATAAAAAAACTATGGCAAAATATTATACGATACATTCTTAACAAATTAGGAAACGAAAAGGAACAGTAGTTAATAATTATCGTAACGCACACTTGTACCTAATCTACTTTGCCAGTCTTTTGCTTTCATTTATTGTTAGTCAAACATAACTACGCTATTATAACTTCAAAATATGATTTACTAAAAAAAATGTCAAAATCCTTTGGTAAAGTTCCATACAACTTGATGTGGTACAATTTAGCCGACTAGGTGATAGTGCTTTTAAAAAATCGGTAAAAAATATAGCTTATAAATACCGAAAAATGTTTCAAATAATTGTAATCCACACTAATTTATGCTTCTAAATAATATATTAGAAACACCATGTGATTAAATTTAACAAAATTACAAACTAAACATGTATTGTCAAAAGTTACTTGAAAACAATGAAAAAATACTTTTCAAAATAAAACACACGTGTTTGTTGTCACGGCAAAAACCACATGGCCGATATTAATTGATTTTAGTTGTGTATCGCTGAGTGTTGCAATTACAGACATTCAATAAATACTTTACGAAATATGAGGGTGGTACAATTTACCCGGCGGTACAATATACCGAACTCTCCCCTAATAGTCCGTGGGTGAGTCAGAATTGATTTTAGATATCAGGAAATATGTTCAATAATTGATTAATAGTTTGTCTTTTTTTAAGTAAATTATTATTTTGAATCAAGTGTAATTAGTATCATTCATAATTATCAGTATATCCTATGTGTCTTTCCCGGGACACAAAACTATCCTATAAAATATTAGTAGGGAGGGAAGTAGGGATTAATGGAAAGAAAGAAAGAAAGAAAAACATTGAATTGGTCCAAAACATAAATAAAAAAAAAATCTTTATTTATGCAAGAAAGATTTACAAAAAAATAATGACATACACAACAAGATACAATGGTAGGTACAAATAACTCAAAATATTTTTTGTAGTTATTGTACAGTTCGGAGACAGGACAAATATTTGTGTATTTTGGAAAAAAAATATCAGTTTGACTCTGTACTGTACAAAGTACACCACTGCCTATTTATAATAGAAAAAATAGCACTTATCTACAAGGATGCTTGTGTCAAGATTGGTGCAATTTGTTACATTGGTTAAAGTTCAAGTATCATGATAAATTCGGCGGAAGTATCTACTAATATTTGAAATACGAAAGTAACTCTGTTTGTTTGTTACCTTTTCATGTTAAAACTACTGAACTGATTTAGAAGAAAAGTACAGAGATAGTTTGAGACCCTGGGAAAAAACGTAGGGTAAGTAGTCTTTATCCTGAGTTTTTAATGAGGGATATAATAATATGTATGCGATAAAGTCCTTCTGTGAATGGATGTTTGTTACTTTTTCACGCAAAAACTGTTTGTAGAATTACAGTCTATTGAATATACAGAAAAAGCCACCGAAAAAGTTTGACGTACCCACGCACCACAAAATCTGATTTTTTATGTATAATTTTGGCAATAATTAGAAGTATTTTCCCCAACAGCCAGACAGTTTTGACAGTTCCAACTCCTTGCCAGACAGTTTTTTTAGGGTAGCTCCCAAAGCCACGATGACCCAAACTTCATAATTCACCAACATTATAATATATCCTATATTGGGAGCATACGCTGACAAACTTTCAGCTTTTATAAAATGACGTAGGTCTGGCGTTCACTAGCTCTTAGTCTATACGTTTTATCGCTGGTAACACCGCGGGGCATAGCTAGTTCACTGTCAATCCTACGTAGAAGGCCGCCTGCGTGAAGTTCACGATTCGCACGCATTGTAATTTTGGACATCGACCGGTTGGTTGCCCAATGCCAGCCGTGGGTGTGGGCAGGGCTGTCCCAAAATAATATAAAAAACGAGCTGACCCGGCGAACTTCGTATCGCGACACGATGGATCAAAACTGAGTTTTTGGAAATAGCGATTTTTTTACAATTTCTAATTAAAAAAAATATCAATGGAAACGTTATTCTCTAAAACTGATAGTTTGATTGCAAATAATATATGACAGAATTTAGAATGAGACAGAGAGTGGTCGATTTCGACTAAGTCTTGACATAATATTTTGCTTTCAAACTCTTACT